AAAGAGCGGAAGAATGGCAAGCAGAAATAGTCGCCACTATCCGTAATACTAATCTTCAAAGGTATGAACTACAGTAATGATGGTGCACCATGGACTATGCCATTGCAGGTGAAACAAAGTGAGAACACAAAGACTGAAACAACTCCGCAAATCAAACATGCTACTCCCGCACTGCCCGCAGGAGCGAAGCCTCCACTGGCAAAGCCGGATGCCTCGGTGACGGTGCAATGCCACGAAGGATGGAACGCTTTAGTGTCTGTCTTGCAGTAGCAGTAGCAGGAACAGGAGCAGGAACAGCAGCAGCAGCAGAGCAGCAGCAGCAGCAGTGACAGTAGCAGTAGCAGCAGCAGCAGCAGCAGCAGCCATAGGATAAACAGTAGTAGCAGTAGAAAAGCAGTATTCGTCGTGGCAGCAACAACAGCAAAGTTTCATCTATCTTGTATCACCAGCTTGCAATCCATGTTACGACACCCGCCACGACTGTCGACGTGGTCGTTCCAAAACCACGGCAAGATCAGCAGCAATTCCGAAGGAGTCATGGCATTGTTGTTGCGACATCTGTGCAGTAAACTGATGACACCAAATTAAAACAAAAACAACTGCACTTCAGAACAGCTCGTTCTCATAGCATGTGCAGAGGGTTCCGTGGACGTCGGGTAATTACGGGCGAAGAAGACACTTCTGAAGACATATGGCGCATAACATGGGGGAAAAAAACATCTGTGGAACAGTTGGGGTGAGTGCCGTGACGGTTCATATTGTGATTTGCTGACTTTGATATCAATTGTTGACCTGCTCTGTTTCCATTCCATCCAAGCTGAGCTCGACTCAACTCAACTGGCGCTGGAGCCACGAAAACGATGCATGCGACAAACTCACCAACAACTTCCCCAGACCACAAGCTGGAGACCTTCGTGTTCAGACTCTCGACATGCTTGAACCCTAAGTCAAACCCCGTCGATTCACCAACACCTGCGCCTTGAAAGCTGGCCCGCAGCAGTTCATGAAACGTTTACGGGTGGTTCGACCTCGTTCGGGCTTGCATAACGGGACAGCCTTGAGAGTTGTTGGGCTGCAAGCGGGATGTTTAGGGCCTCAAGCTTGTCAGGTGCAACAGCCGTATCATTGGATTTGAACATGGGCACCGCGTTCTCCTGCTGCTGCGACGGCTCGACGTCGTGTTGTACATGGTTAAAACTTCTGCGTCTGGGCTGAAAACTGATGATTTCTGTAATGTATCTCAGGTCAAGTGCTTCAGGCTACAAGTCGCAGACTGCCAAAAGAAATGGTTTTGGAGCTTGGCTTTCTGTGACCATCGAGCAGCCGGACCCCATTCAATCCTGAATACTCTTTGGCCCCTTTCACCTAGTCATTCTTCCTTTCGTATGGGGCTGTTTTTCGGACAGGCCCCAGGATGCTCAAAACGCAAGACAAGCCTGATCAGGCGACAACAGTTCGGCCGTGAAAGCAGCAAAGCAGCAAGCCGTACATATTTTCGGCCACGAGCTGCGCACTGCCGACGAAGTTCCCCACGCATCACTCATGACAGCGTGTCGTCTGAAAGGACGAATGTTGCCGCCTTCGGATCAGAAACCGCAAAGCTGGTGCGCACGAACTACCTTCGAAACTGTTGTTTCATCACTTGCTTCCAAGTACTCCTGGACAAAATTTCTTCAAACCAACCGCTGGCGGCTGCACTGAATTTTGAATGTTGCCACGATTTCGGCTCTCCCGGTTCAAAGCCTTTTGGCGCAAGCATTCAGCCAACATTGCGCCCCATCGTGTAACAAACCGTCATGGAAACTTCGTGGTATGATGAACACATCGGGGGGGGCAATCAGCGCTCAAACATCGAACGTTTCTCCATGTTTCTCCATGAAGACAGGTCGTATGCTCATGACATAACATGCAACGTGAGAACAGGTTCAACCAAGTCTTGCCAACAGCACTGGCGCTCGAACTCCTGAAGGGAACACTTGTACTGCCCTTTCCATTGTTCCTCGAAAACTTCGAACACAAGGCTGCACAGGCTCACAACATCGGGATGCACTATCAAACCTGCGATCAAGTCTCCACAGCAAGGAGTTTGACGGCATTCTGACGGGTTTGCAGAAGAAATTTCAAGTTTTAATTTTGTACAAGCTAGCAGTTGGGATGCTCAAAATGGACTGCAACTCCCGACGACAACTGTGCCTCAACACTCTGCTGGAGCACAAGGTTCCTCCCATCCGTCGTCCACGTTTTGAGAACGTTTGGTGTACCGAAGCCTTCAAAATGTGCGAGGGTTGCTCTGCATTCGGAACCGTGGTAGGGGGAGAAGACAAGAGTCTCGACCTGGGGATGCTCAAGACGAGTTGCACAGAGAAAGAGAGAGAGAGAGAGAGAGAGAGAGAAAGAAATGAAGGAAAGGAAGGAAAGGAAGGAAAGGAGACTGAAAAGTTCCCGGGAATGAAGGCTGGTCGACCTCAGAATTGACACGGCAAAACTGGTGTGAAGTAAGAAGAGAGCGGGAGTAGGAGCCGGAGCAACAGCAGCAGCATCCGCCTCCTTGCTGAGAGCCTGTGTGCCACCACATCTGTGTCCCGAGGTCCCTGAACCTTGAAACCTTGAACCGGTGGTTGATAGTTCGGAAAATTCCCTGATGTCTGAGGCCGTTGCAATCAGCTTGCCGATGGTTTCACAATGAAGCCTCAGCCAGCATGCTAACCTACCAAGCATTTATTCCACGGAATGCGGTGTTGTGCAAAGCAATGAGCACTGTGATTGGCCATGGTGTGTGATGACACACCGCAACCGGTGTGCTGCTGCCGCAGGCCAGGTTCTGAGACTGACAAATGCCCATTTGACCCTCAGCCTCTTGACGACCGGCTCGTCTATTGGCTGCTCGGCCCGGCGCCGGTTCAAGCCATTAATGGCTTTCAGCTGCGTCTCCTGCAGGTTTATTTCTGGGTGTCCGACACACAGAGGTGTAAACATAATCGGAAAAGAAAAGGCACCCTGATTCGGATCAACCCCGCGAAGATGGAATGGCGAGCATGATCTGTCAGCCATATTCCGAAGCCCGAAATCAAAGAACACTGAAGGCAGGCAGCCTCCTGTTGGCAACACTAAATCCGAGCTGCAAGCGTTGTCCACCTCTCATATGTTCCTACAGCCCTGTGTTTACGCACTGTGATACCGAAACACTAGTGGTTTTCGCGAACGATGTTTACAGTGCACTCGACGCCCAACACCATTGTCCAATACCATTAGTGCCCACACCTGCGTCCTTGAACGCTTGGGTGGCTGAGTAATGCATGTAATGTAAGGGTACACTACAGTGCATCAGCATGTTCACAAACCGATATTACAGAGTGGTGACGCTCTTGGCAGTTCCAGAGACCCCAAATGGGAAGCCAGGTCACCTCATGATCCGACACTGGTATCAGTATGGCTACACAGCAGAATGCTGGCGCATGAACGGGGTGATTGTGCAAAGTTAAAGAGCTTACCCTAGAGTTCGATTTAGGAGTTCTTCCGACCTCAGCAGAAATGGTCTTGCTTGACCGCCAATGGCCAAACGAGTTCGATGCAAGACCCGTCGGAAAGAAGAGAGAGAAGTTCCCCGGAATGAAGGCTGGTTGACCCTCAAGTTGAAACGACTTAGCTTTGGTGTGACGTCTTGTACACTTGTACACCCTGTATCTGGTCGGATTCCTGTTCCGCATGCACCCAGGCAGGCAGACTTGCGAAGAAGGCAGGTGCCATGGTCGTGACTGCAGATCCTTCGAGCATTGCTGGCTGGTTCTTGAGCCTTCATCTTCCATCACGACTGACTACTCTGCAGCATAAGATGATGCACGAGGTAAGACAATATGCGATCAACATGCGACGTGAAGAGGGCTGATGATTTTCGGGGGTCGTAAGGGGTCATGGCGGCTTAGCGTTCACTCGACGGTCAGTCGACACACATGCACAGTCTGTGCGTGAATGCTGCCCCCTCGGAAGGAAGCAATCCGTGGCAGCCTACACTGAGTGCTTCGGGAGTCCCTGCTTGTAGTGGTACGATCGCAAGAACCAAAACCCCGGACTTCTGTCCTGACAGCTTCTGTGCCGACCCGTGACCTCCACGATCCCAAAGTCTAACAATGTCGCACCTGCTGAGCTGCTACAGCCCAGGACCCTCATACGAGAACCCTACACTCTACGGCCCACGACCCTGAAACCCCGAGCCTTAAGCTCCTAAACATGCCAACGTCCTAGAACTCGTCGATCT